AGCCTCTATTTGTAGTGTTTTGAAAAGGTGTTTTCACTTGGGGTTTTTCCAAGTTGACCCTTTTTAAAGATACTGAACCCAACACCCTAAAATTCCAGAGAAGAGAAGGGAAAACGTCATCCAAAAATGCAAAGAGAGTCAGATAGTCAAAAAGTCAACCACATAACCTATTTGCATAGCCATTTTTAGGATTTTCCCGCCATCACATTCATTGATTAAATGTGATGGATTACTGACTAGTCAGAGAAGGTCCCAGATACTTTTTCATTTTCCCACACCAAACTAACCCTAGTAATGTTATTAAAATGGAGCAATGATGATGGATTCTTATCCAACTAGTTGCCTTAATGAAATATAATTAAAATATATATTAAAGCAGTGTTCCCTCAATTTTCATATTAATATTTGTAGTGAAATATAATATTGATTTTTGGGGTAAAAGGTGCCACAACTCTGATGGTACAGGTGTCCACAATGGTGACCAACCCACCAAACACAAAAAGACGAAGATATAATTCGATTTGGCAAGATGAGGAGAGAGCTTGAGTGAGAGTTTAGGTTATGATGTGAAGGGGTATGACTGAGAAACTAGAGTGCGATGTTCTAAAGAGGTTTTCAGTGAGAAGATATGAGTGAGAAGAGGTACAAGTGAGAGTGAGAAGATTCACATGTCTCTCGTCTTCATCTTCCAGCTCAAACAAGGAGTGTCATACTGTGGAGCTGCAATGGTGCTTCGGTGTTTCAAAATCAGATAAAAATCGGGAAGCCATTTTGGAAATATCTAATCTCCTATGTAAGTTTTCATTTTCCAGAATATAGTGGGTGAAAAAAAAACCTAGGTTACACTCTGACAAATTATTTTGCATATTTGACTATGCCTGCAATTAGGGCGCCCACCAGTTGCAATGAATCGTGGGTTGATGTACCTCTTGCGAAGCATAACAACAAGGATAACACGTATATGATTGATAGGGTGCCTCATGTTTTTTTTTTTTTTTTTTTTTTTTTTTTTTTTTTTTTTTTTTTTTTTTTTTTTTTTTTTTTTTTTTTTTTTTTTTTTTTTTTTTTTTTTTTTTTTTTTTTTTTTTTTTTTTTTTTTTTTTTTTTTTTTTTTTTTTTTTTTTTTTTTTTTTTTTTTTTTTTTTTTTTTTTTTTTTTTTTTTTTTTTTTTTTTTTTTTTTTTTTTTTTTTTTTTTTTTTTTTTTTTTTTTTTTTTTTTTTTTTTTTTTTTTTTTTTTTTTTTTTTTTTTTTTTTTTTTTTTTTTTTTTTTTTTTTTTTTTTTTTTTTTTTTTTTTTTTTTTTTTTTTTTTTTTTTTTTTTTTTTTTTTTTTTTTTTTTTTTTTTTTTTTTTTTTTTTTTTTTTTTTTTTTTCCCCGAAGTCTAACTCGAACCCATTTTAAAATTGGGTCGGATTTGAGCTTATGATTTGAAACTCTCGGCCCACCCGCCTATGCCCTTCTTTTAGAAAGTTTTAATTGATGCACTCCCAAACCTCATTTTATACTTAATTAAAATAATGTAATATATATATATATATATATATATATATAAAGCAAAAGGCAGAGACTGGTGAAACATTCAAAATACCAGAAAATGCCATTGGTTAATCCAAATATTAAGAATCAAAATTATTAATTAAATGAGGATAATATGGTAAATTCACACATTTTCATATTTTTAAAAATTAAAATTAAAAGAAAAATCAGATAATGAATCCTATTTTTATGGAACACAACTACCCATGATCTTTTTTTTTTTTTTTTTTTTTTTTTTTAAAAAGCCTCTCGCAGGCGCGGAAGCGCGTGCAGAGAGGCTAGTATGTATAATAAACTAATAAACTTCTTATTTTGTTTACACATGTTATAAATTAAGTTAATTTTTCAATGTTGTCTAAAATTTTGTAACAAAGCAATATATACACTATATCTTATAGTGCCCTTTTTTTTTCAAGTTCAACTTTAATGATTCAATAAAGAATTTGAAAGCTTATTTTGGTTTTATTAATTCTAATGGCACAAATTGCTTTAATTTTCATGATGTCAATCCTAGTTTAGGATAGAAGTAACACATTTTCATAATATTCATTTTTAGGTATAATATTTTTTAAATTTATTGGCTATTGCTTGGTCTAGGTTTAATAAAAGAATTTGGCTATTATATTTTTGTTTTTTTTAAGTTGTGCAGTAATCTTTACTATTGTTTAAGAGAAGACTCTTTATCCATCATTATCACCAAAAAAAAAAAAAAAAAAAAAAAAAAAAAAAAATAAAAAAAAAAAAAAACTTAGAAAAAAAAAAAATTAAAAAAAAACCCGTTAAATACGACCGCCCTCATTGTGGCGCCCGTTAGGCCCATTAGGCATGGTCTAGGCCTGGGCTCGATGGGCGGGCCCAGGCCAAGCTCTTTGAAACCTCATCCCAACTTAGAAAAAAAAACCCTTAAAGCTCGACCCCAGCCCAAAAATTTCGATCTAGGCGCAGTGACGAACCCCAAGACCATGGCTCTATACAATATAAATTGTGATAAATACCAAAATGGTCCATTTGTTTACTCAGTTCATCAATTAACTTTAAGTATAGGTGCGGTTCAATTTGGATCGCTACACTCTCGAATTGTATTATTGTTGTTATGCCATGATCTATGTTTGTTGACTAGGATTGGATTTGATAACTTACTATATTTAAGACATGTTGAGTGAGGAAATGAAGAAATGTTGTCCAAGTTGAAGGTAGAAGAGGGATCACTCATGAAGGAATCTTATCCCATGCCACTCAAATAATAGGATAACAACACTTTATAAGTTATCCCTTCTAATCCCCTCAAAATGAAAAATCTTTAACATCCACCAGCATTTCCTCTTCCAACATAGCTTAAGAATTATCCAATCCAATACTAGTCATGAAACATTACATATTGCAAATTTTGAAATGATATAAATAAATGGGTCGGCTTCCGCCCAATTTAATTCCCTCTCATTTCATTAAAGGACAGATTGGTCCTTCTGCTCCTTGGTAGCCCCAAGTGGCATGCTCTGGGCTATGAAGTGAATTTATGGATCCACAATGTAATGCCTTTTTTTGTAAGAAAGGAAGTCAAATATAGGAGAGTGAATGAGTTGTTAGTGTCTAGAATGATAATCGTTGGTCTAGGCTAGACGTCGATTTTCAAAAATAAATGTGGAGTGTGTTAGTGTTGACTACTTTGCATGGAGTGGGGAAGAAGAAATGGTTGGGTAGTGGAAACGGTTTTGGCGTCGTGATGTGTAATTTTGGGCGTGGGTTTAGGATAATCGTACAAAGGTATGGGAACCAAACAAAGAAAAAACCCTAAACAATAAAAAAGATCAACAAGCCACCTTCGAAACTACCTTTAGTGCAATCCAGTGCAGGCAGGTGAAAATTCGTCTCGGTAGACTTATGAATTAAAAAAGATAGTCCAGTTAAGCAAGAAAACATGTTCCAAGTTAATTATGTAAAGTTATGGGGAAGACTGATTGAGTATAAAGCAAGTGAAAAGACCATCAATCATGCACAATATCCCTCCCTTCTCATTATGTATACACAAGTTCAATAAATTCCCTATCGAAAGAATATGAAAACTTATTGAAGCTAAAATACATAAACAACACATGCTTGTCTTTAAAACCAAGTTTATGAAAGCTCTTAACCAATTGGTCGTATTTAAAGAAAGCATAAATAAGCATTGAAAGAGCAAGAGCAACATTAGTGAGTAAATAGATACCTCATCTAGGTAAACTTTGACCTATGGCAGGTAAATAAATACCTAAATTTTTCAATAGTATAAACCACAGCTTGTACAAGTTATAATGTTGCTACGTACAACTCTATATGCGCATATACATACAAAGATACACAAGAACATACATTTTAGGTAGAATTCATGTTTGATTGTGGAAATAAAATAATTATATGATAAGTCTTATACCAGTCTATTCCACTTTGAGTTAGTATGCATGCATGTAGTTTCCATTGCTTGTCACATTAAGCCTCTACTTCTAGCACTTTCTTCTTCTTCTTTTTCCCTCGTTCCTTTTTATGTGTCCTTAACCTTTGCCTCTGGTGCCTTCTTCCTCTTCTTGCTTGGTTCATCTTTCTATATATTCTCCAGTGCAGTTGTACCATCCCTTTGTCAATCCCAAATTGTAACTTGTGTTTGAAAAGAAAACCAAAATACAAAACAAAAATCAAATAGACTTACGTGTCCCAGGTGCTTGTTATGAGTAGGGTGGTGGAGCTCAACCTCATTTCATATGTATAATTACAAGAATCTATAGAGATGGGGATGGTGTTCTAGGCAACAATCTCATCACCAAAGGCATTTTTGGTAAAATATAACGGCCTCCTAGATCTAGACACTAGATATACATAGCTTCCCTATATCCATAATAAAGATTTGGAAGAATCTAGAAATAGAGAGGATTATTTTGGAAAAAGATGTAGTAGAGAGAATTGGAGAATGGACTATTTTGGAAACATGTGGGTGTTTATATAGAGGAGATTTGAATTGTAATTGAATTAAATGTGGCATATTTGAAATCTTTTATAATTGAATTAGTGGGTGGGAGATTTGAATTGTGTCTGAAATTGAATTAGGAGGTGTCTTGTGGGTGTCATCAAGGTTTCTCTCTCTCAACTTACTTAATGTGATTAGACCAATTGACGACAATATATCCTTGAGCTTTTCCTCTCAAGGGGATGGTTCCATATACCGTGTGTCTCCTTTAATGGGTAACCTAGTTATCTTCTATTAGTTGAGATTGGGCCTTTAGTCTGTAGCTTTCCCCTTTTGTGGGTTCTTTCTCTTTCTCTTATACCCAAATGGTAGTTTTTTTATAGCTATATCTTTTTGGTACATTTCCCTCCTTTTCTGCTAGTCCTTATTAGCTCATTTTCTCATTAATGTTTCTCTATCCCTTAGGCCCTTTGTCTTGTTACCTTATCTCTTTCCCTTGATATCCTGGTCATGTGTGGTCCTCACCATGAGCTCTGCTGATTCTCTTACCTCTCAGCTTGATGACTATTTAAGACTTGATCATGCCTGTTCAGATGTTGTGTTGGTGGGAGTAATTATTGCATATGTTACTCCTAATATTGGGAGTATAAAAGGGCTTTACGTCTACATGGGCTCGATTTGGGAGTCTTATGATAGCACACTATAAGAAGAATATCTTCACTATCACCACATCTAGTGAGGGTGGTCTTTGGAATATTATGAACTATTGCTTCAATGTGGTGGTCTGGTATTCAAATCTCATGATTGAGGAAGTCTAAGACCATTTGGTACTCTATTGAGTTCAAGTTTCAACTTTTACTCTTAAAAAGATGAACTTGGCAAAAGCAAAGATGATTGGGACAAGATTGGAAAGGTTATTGACGTGGAAGATCACATAACCCGCAAGGCCATCTTGAGGAGATATCTCAGAGTGAAGGTTGTCATTGATTCCCTCAAGCCTTTTCCGACGTGATTCTGGCTTCCAAGATTTGCTCACCAATCTGTCCGAGTGGAATATTTTTATGAGAGACTAAATGACTTATGCTACATATGTGGAAAATTAGGTCATTGTGAATGAAGAAACGACATTCTCTCCCCCATCTCAATTGGGAAATGAATGGCAGTCAAGAGCTAGCCGATGTTGTCCTTCGGCTTCCGGTTTCCAATATGAGGTTCTAGTTAACTCATCCGTACGGGACAAACATGCAATTTCTTCTCATGTCATTTAAACGGCGTCGAAGCGTGACTAGTCTCCATCCTCAACAGAAACTCTGAATTTGACACCCCTGCAAGGTCCAGCGATCCTTGCTCTCTTATATGCTCCTCTAAATTTTCTGTTGCGTGCTTGGCTCGAGAGATGTCTTTATCCACCAAGTTCCCCAGTTCTAATACTTTTGATTGGGCTATGACTCATGTCATACCTCACAGGAATTGTAACTCATATAAGGAATTGTAATTCTCTTGTAAACCTATTGTTTATTTTGTGTTTATATATAATGCCTTTGTTGCAATAAGATGGCAGAGAAGAATATTAACTTCACCACAATTGAAAATGTTGCAAGTGGATCCCGAAAATTGCCAGCATTGTGGAATGCTCAAACTATATCTATCTTCATTAACCTTTGTATCAAGGAGGTGGATCTATGCAATCGTTCCAGTATTCACTTTCATAAAGTTGGATGGACAAGGTTGGTTACAAATATTAGTAAAGAGATAGGAAGATCATATGAAAAATTACAATTGAAAAACAAGTGGGATTTACTAAAAAAAGAAAGGAAATTATGGAAAGATTTAAAAGGAAAGGAAACGGGTCTTGGGTGGAATGTCGCTAAGAATACTGTTGTTGCATCTGAGGAATGGTGGCAAAATAAAATTAAGGTATTTGAATTTTTTGTTCTTGTTTTAATATAGTATTAATATCCATTTTTTTTAAAATATAACTATGTTTAAAAACTCATTATAATATTTGTATATGTCATAATGTAGGCAGAATCCAAATATGCAATATTCCAATTTAAGGGTATTAGTCCTGAGATGGAGGAGAAGTTAGATATGATGTTTTGAATGTCACAACCACTGGTATGCATTCTTGGGCACCTTCATCTGGTATACTTCCAATTGAAAGTGATGATTATGTCAACCACTTGAAGTTAACGATGATTCGAATGAGTTTGTGCCAATTGAAACCACTCAAACTACAAACAATGTGCCAAGAAAGAGAACTAATCAATCACTTGAAATTCAAGATAATAATTAGACAAAAGGTAAATGAGGGGAGAAAATGGGAGGTGCTGCAAAATTATCATTGCAAATTGAACGTCTTGTTGAGGTGGTTGAGAGTAGGAGAACTGAAACATCAATGGCTAATACAGTTTCACAAGGAACTAGTATTGTTGAAGTGATGAAAGATGTTGCAACTTTACCTGGGACAGAGTGTGGTAGCAAGTTGTGGTGGTTTGCAACTAAATTATTTTGTACTCAAGAAAAGATAGAGATGTTAGATCCTGACCTCAAGCTTCAATTTCTTAATCATGAGTTAGCTAAAGGCTAGAATTTGATAGTTTAGTGACTTTAATTTATGTTTTGTTGTTGTGTTGTTAATTTATTTGAATTTGTGAGTGATATTTGAATTAATGTCGGATGATCATTTATTTGAATTTGTAAGTGATATTTTAATTCTTGTCATTATATTTTATGTTATATAAACATGCATGCACAGTTAAAATGTTATTTGAAGGAAATAAACACATTTGCACGTTGTTTTAGAACATGTCTATTCCAGAAGATAAGGAGGAGATCAACCAAATTATATGCGTCATTGCCCATTTTATTGAATTTTATTACGTGAAATATATTCATATGACCCCGTATATGAATGACCATCATACAAGAAATATTTGGTTGATGGGAGTGTTACAAGGAAATGAAAGTCGTTTCTATAACATGTTTAGGATAGACAAAGATGTACTTATAAAATTGTGTGATGAATTGCAAAACAATTATGGATTAAAAGGTTCAAGAAGAATGAGTGTTGTTGAGATGTTAGGGATGTTCTTGAACATTTTAGGATATGGTTGTGCAAATAGGCAAGCATAAGATCGTTTTCAACATTCTGGTGAGACTGTGAGCATATATTTTAGTATCTTACTTGATGTTTTTATGTTGTTGGATTGTGGATGTAATTAAACCATTTGAAAATGCGTTTAACAACACTCCAAAGGAAATCCTATTGGAATCTAGATATATGTCTCATTTCAAGGTAACTATTGCATCTACTACTCTTAAATATTTGTCTATATTTTATTATGTTGTAAATGCATGAGTTGGTGGATGACCACCATACCTCTTAGTATTCCACCATTAGATTTTATGTAACCTATGCACTAAGTATTTGTAATTAGTGCTTGTAACCTATAGGTATATTGTGAATGATGGTATTCAATCTTCTATTTTGTAAGCCTATAAATAGGTGGTTCTACCAAAGATTTAGAGAAGAATAAACATAGTGAAACTTTATCTTTAGCATATCACTTCTCTCTATATTTTCTTCCCCTAGTTTTATAACACGTTATCAGCACAACATTACTCTTGGTATGTTTTCTTTCTTTGAATTTTCTTTCTTCTTATATGAGCTAAAGTCATCACATGGTATAGAGTTTCTTTGTACTCACCATCAAACTTCATCATGCTCATTTAAGGAAAAAAAATTCTTATTCTTATTACACATGAATATAATGCCATGTTTTATTTTTATTTGTTTGTTTATTTAATTTTAAGTATGATCTTAATTATTATGATGAGTTTGTATTATACAAAAGATCAAGGCCCGAAGTCCCTCGATCCTCATCATATAACTAGATTAGGACCTAGAGTTCTTTTGATTGAATAAGAACCTGAAGTTCTTTGATTCCAAATAATTGAGGGCGTGAAGTTCCGCGAATTTAAAGAGTACATAAGGACATGAAACTCCTCGATTTTGTATTAATCAAAATCAGAATTCCATGAGACCTACATATGTCAAGAACCCGAACCAGAAGTTTCGAGTGCATATACATCGATTTGAGTATGAAGTTCAAAGCACAACTATTAATTCAATTTATTTATATCTACGTATTTGAACTTGAAGTTTCGAATATATATTGATATGAACCCGAAGTTCATAATTTTTCATGGATCTTAACACTCTATATCTTAATACTATATATGAACCTGAAGTTCATTACTTATTTGTGCCTATATGAACATGAATTGGTTGGAAATCCAATTCTTAAACTTGTAGTTTTATCTACATAGTGAATCCACATTAATATTGGATTATCTTGGAATTTCATAGTCTTTAATTAATTTATTTTATTTTTCGTTTATACCACTTTACTCATTTTATTTTATTTTATTTATGTTGGGTTATTAGTTAATTTCGTTTTACAATGGTAATGTTTTGTATTACCGTCCCAATATTGATAGCCATAGGCATCTATTGGAGAAATTTCATACTTTCTTTTGTGGGTAGGAAGTTGAAGATTATGATATCATGAACCAGAAGTTCATTGACCGGATAACTTTTATGTTGTGACATGACTATCTTGGCAATCCATGTTCCACAATAATACATAAGATTTTTATAAATTTGTAAGGACGTCGTTTAAAGACTCAAAACGTTGTCTTGTCCAACAAATATCATTACAAAGAATGCTCACAAATAAAAGCTGTCATAAGATCATCTCAGTCAAAAATTCACTTTGAGCCCTCTTTCCTGAAATAATTCAAGGGGATATTTGTGAGCCAATACAACATTTAATTATGGATCACTTCACCAGTTTTATTGAATGTGCCTACTAAAATGGTCACATATTTGTCTCTTGTCAAGACGCTTACGAACACAACTCCCACATTATCCAATCCAGTCAATTTGAATTGATAATGATGGTGAGTTTATTTTTCTACATTTTGAGACAATTTTCCCACCGTTAAGGGGAGAAATGACAGTTCTTGAAGAACGTCGTGAAATAGTGTTGAATCGGCCCACTTTTGTTTCATCAAGATAATGCATATATAAAGTTATGAATGTATCACAATCCATTAACATGACAATAAGTGACTATGAGCATGACAAAAATATAGGTTCTAAAAACTTAACTCCCTAGAAGTGGAGATTATTTGAAAAATTCAAGCCCTATAAAAAAATAATGCTCTATATGAAGTTATTATCCACATATTATAATTAATTCATCGTAAAAAATATGTTTGTCCCATAAGTGACAACATCAGCTCCTGAAGAGGGATTGGTACCTCAAAGCAATGAGATGCTTATAAATTATGCATGCGCATGCACATGAGAATTGCGGGATCACGAATTGATGATACATTTGGTTTATTAGTAGCTACTACAATCATCAAAGAATATGATTATATTAAATCGCCTTATGAATGTCGACAAGTTAAGTGATTGGCCAAAATGGAAATAGGCAATTTCATTTATCACTAAATATGAAGTGTGGGATATTGAACCTATAGCTCAAACACCAAATTACAAATGTTAAGTATGAAGGTTACGAATTGGTGCTTGTGAAGTGAAATAATATCACTAATATGACATAAGGTTTCCTGGTAGAGACATGGTTTTAGTCTCCCATCTCATCACAGATGCATCCAATTTCTATAAGTACAGTTGTTATTTTAACGCGAAACTTATAGCATGTGTTAAATGCATATTTATTAAGACTGTATGGTACATGAAGATCCTCAAAGCTCATGAAATATTTGAGATATATCGCATGAAGCAACCCCTTGAAGGATATAAAGTACCATGATATTCTTGATTAAGAGTTAACACTAAGAGTTTGAGTATTTTGAATTCAAATTTGATATTGTTGTAACATATTCTAACTATTAAATTAGTTGTTGATGCTCCTAAAGAGTTCAATAATTTAAAAAGTGAAAAGCAAGTCGAATAGTGTCATAGACAATCATGTATGTAGACAATGTTGCTTGTATTGCTCAAATCAGAGAAGGGTTCATCAAGGTGACATAGTTTCAGAAAAAAGCTAAGACATTGGAGTTAAACAAATTCGTTCACAAGATAATTTGGCGAACCTTTTTACCAAAGCTTTTTCGTTCACAAGATAACATGACATATGCACATTGTACTCTTTTTCCCTTCAACTAGGTTTTTGTCCCACTCGGTTTTTCCTAGCAAGGTTTTAACGAGGCAACATAAGCGTATCCAACACCATATCAATGATCTAGAAGAAAGTTTCACTTTTTCTCCCTTCGCTTCGGTTTTATCCCACTTGGTTTTCCAAGCAAGGTTTCTAATGAGGGAACTATGTCATTGTACGGTGGACATCCAAGAGGGAGTCCCTACAAAAAAAAGGGTCATTACCGACCAACAATTTCTGAGGGTCCTGAAATTCCCTCAGTAAAAGTGTTTTTTCCGACCAAAAAATGGTGTCCATTGGAAATATGTCATGGGGCTAAAATTTATTTCCTACACAAAAAATACCCTCGGAAACAGTTTCCATGGTTGTCGAAAATATAATTTATTTGGCGGGAAGACTTAGCGCCAACTTTATTAACGACAAAAAGTATGTTTGTCGGAAATAGGATGATTATTTACAAGGGGTTTCTCATTCCGTCAGAATTGTTTGACTATTTCCGAGGAGAAATATGTCCTCTCGGAAATGCCGTTATATTTACAACCAAATTCATACTCGATGGTAATAGTTGTGCTTTTTTCCAAGGGCATATTCACTTTTGTCAGAAATCACAATCTATTTCCGAGGGCAACATATGGTCGTCGGTAATAAATTTTCTATTTATGAGAAGAATTAGGGACCATTGGAAATGATTATCTTAAAAAATTCATAATAAATTAAATAAAAATAAGAAAAATACACAGAAAAAAGCTATGCACTCTTGACAATAAATCCTTCAATTTTAGAGGCTAAAATCATGATTTCACATAATGAGTTCATGGTAATGATTGGATCAAAGCAGTAAGAGTGTTAGGTTATCAAACATTAACTAGTGTTTGGTTTGTTTACAAACTAAGTTGAGTTTTTGTTGTCACTTTGAATTTTTATAAGTAAAAAAAAAAGATTTCCAAAGCTTTAGGATGAAGAGAATGTCATCACTAGGACTTCATAGGAATTTTCAGTGAATTTTTTGGATTTTTAATGTATTTTATATGATTTTTAGGAGTGGAATCATGTAAAATTCATATTAAACTGAATTGATCGACAAGTGGCAGCTTCTTTGAGGTGCATTTTCTATATTAGTGACGCGTCCTCATACCACAATGTCATCTATCCTTTTTCTTACTTTTTTGTTGTTTATCTTAAAAAAATTAATAACATATTAAATAAAAATCTGAAAAATGCCCCAAGAAAATATACGAACTCCTTATGAAAAATCCTTTGATTTTAGATGTCTAAAATCATGATTCCACATAATTGAGTTCATGGTAATGATTGGATCAAAGAAGCAAGAGTATTAGGTTATCAAACAATAACTAGTGTTTGGTTTGTTTACAAACTAATTTGAGTTTTTGTTGTCACTCTAAATTTTTATAAGTAAAAAAAAGATTTTTGAAGCTTTAGGACAAAGAAAACGTCACTAGGACTTCGTAGGAGTTAAATCATATAAGGTATTCATTATGATTTTTGGATATTTGACTTAAACTCTTTTTTATTTATTTGGGAATTGGTGTGGGGAAGAGCTCTTTCATTTTTCATTGACCGCCAAATAACTCCAGCCAAGTTGACAAAAAAAAACTCCAACCAAAACTCAAATTTCCCCCTTCTTCATCACTAGCGAAAGTGAAAAATGGGCAATTTCAAAAACCTAGCAGCCGCCTCCAACACTCACTCTCCCTATGCGTCTCTCTCTCATCCCCCTCTCTCACTAAGTCATTGTCTCTCCCTCTGCGTCTCTCTCTCATCTCATCTATCTTCGTTAGCTTCTGACCGTCTCTGTCTCTCTCTCACGATCTCACCCTCTCCGTCTCTCTCCCAATCTCACCCTCTCTGTCTCTCTCCCGATCTCACCCTCTTTGTCTCTCTATCCTCTGTCTCAGTTAGTCAGATTTCAGTTCTCTTTTTCATGTCTCTGTTTTTTTTTTGGGTATAAATTATCATTTTGGTTTTTGGTATTTCGTAAATGTGTTTCGATTTTCAAGGCATGTGGTCTTTCCTATTGTTAATTTGTCACTTTTTGTTTCAGATTTCATTTGGGTAGCAGAGAAAATGCATATTTGTCAATTGTGCATTTTACTTGCGGCGATTTGGTTGTGCAGGTTCTATCATGAAGCATCAACTATGATGAGGTATACTTCACTGAGCCTTTCTGGTATTCCAGATTTATTAAGATCTTTGCCTTGACAATTATTTATTCTATGCATACTTGGATTGATTGTTAATGGTCTTGGTTCTTTATTTCATATTTTATTTTCTGTTGCTCTGCTTTAATGGCTAAAATATTTGGGTTTGTAATGTACTCTCGAAAGAGCCTAAAATTGGGCTTCGAATTAAGTACTTGAAAAAATTTCTTATAGCATGTATTTCTGTTGTATTAGGTACTGATATAATGCAGGTTTGATGTTCCTCTACAAATTATTGAACTATTTCCTTATGATATCCTAACCATATATTTTCTCAAACTTATTACTTGGAATGCGGGTTTTGAAATGCAGGGACATACCAAGCCTATCCTTTCTGTGTGCTGCGATCCATCTGGTGAGTTCCTTGCATCAGTAAAATTATACATGGTCATCCTATAAGGTAATAATAGGATACAGTAAATTCTTCTGATATGTTCTTGTTTTGGCAGGATAAACAAACAATGTTATTGTTAATGGGAAATAGCAGCAGCCCATCATTAGTGAAGATTCAAAGGAAGCTATGAAGCATGCATTCGAACTCTTTAATGTTCTATTGGAAGTAGACTTTGGGATTAGTGATATAGGGCATAGCTTAGGATTGTAATGAATATTTGTAATTTATTACATTTGTCTTTTATTAATGATGATATATACTATTCTTCGAACAACAATTTTTCAATCAAAATATTATTTAGATTTTTTGACAAAATGTTTGTACGTTTAATGCTTATAAATGTAGTCGGAAAAACATTTTTTCGACAAGCTTCCATGTCGAAAAAGCACAATTCCAACGAATTATATTTATCACAAATGGTAATCTAGGGTCGGAAATACTATTTTTGACAAATAGTCATTGGTCGAAAAAATAGTATGGCAAGAACAAAAGATCTCGATCAAAAATTATTTCCGACAGGTGCACAAGTATTTGCGACCACATTTATTGTTGGAAATGAATTGTTATGGTCGTTATGAAAATCTATTTCCGATAAAAATATAAGCAATATCGATGAAATATGGGTGTCGAAAATACATTATTTCCAACGGAATGGTCGGAAAAAAAGTATTTGCAACTGTCGTTTTACCGACGACTTCCGATGAACTTTTGCCCTCGAAAAAGCGAATTTCCGATGGCAAGAGGCGTTTTGCGACCACAAAATACCCTCGCTAAAGGCATTCTGTTTTGTAGTGAGTGTTGTAAATGCATGAGTTGGAGGATGACCACCATACCTCTTAGTATTCCACCGTTAGATTTTATGTAACCTATGCACTAAGTATTTGTAATTAATGCTTGTAACCTATAAGTATATTGTAAATGATGGTATTCAATCTCTTATCTTGTAAGCCTATAAATAGGTGGTTCTATCAAAGATTTAGAGAAGAATAAATATGGTGAAACTTTATCTTTAACATATCACTTCTCTCTATATTTTCTCCCTCTAGTTTTATAAGATTATGTTATAATTAATATTATATTTGTTTTTTTTTATCACTTGTATGATTGTATTAGTGCTATAAATGGTGTTCATGTTCAAGCTACAGTATCTCCTTTAAATCAAGTACCATTTATGGGTAGAAAGGGGATACCTACCCAAAATGTGATGGCTGCATGCAATTTATATTTGCATGCGCCGGATGGGAAATGACAGGACCCGATCCAAATTCTATTTTAGAATCCGTGTCGAACCCTGTGCGTGTAAAACACCTAGCAAGTGTCAGGCACGAGTGACCAAAATACCTTTTTTGCCCTAATCCCAAAAATTGCTTTAGGGTTTGACTTCTACAGGAAAACCAGCAAAGTCTCCCCTGAAAAATGCTAAAAACCCAAAAATCTACCTGCACAGCAAACACAATTATTTCCTAAACATTTAGCAAGCACAAGGTATAAACCACACAACAATTAACAAAAGTTTTAATGGGCTTCAGGCCCCCTTTACCAACATAAGAAAGTGAACAAAATCAACTTCACAAAACTGAACATAACAAACAAATCATAAACTTGCTACTGCACCTAGGTTAGCCTAGGTTGCCTACGTACCCTTACTGAGGGATCAAGCCACACGTAGTTCTTTCTAGCATGCATCACAATTCAGATAATATAATATTGTTCAAGAAACCAACAATAAAATCTAAAATCATTCTTTACTTTGATTTCAACAAGTTATATAATTGAATATTATGCTTGGAAATTATGTACCTAACTATTCAATTAGTTTATCATTGTAAATCCAAACACTTAGATAACCAAATCTTTTACCAGAAAGCAATACTTTCAACCATCCGCATAATGCATATATATTGTAATCACCCACCAAGAAGTATGTGGGAATACCATCAAATCCGAAGGCAAAAAGGAAGGGGAAACTAACTAACCACCTATGTAGACAAGTCGGGCAGATGGCTAGGGATCCTAGCCAACCCTGTGTAGATAATATGAGCATGGTGGTGAAGAATATCTTGTTAACTGTACCACACGTTGGTACTGCACTATTCTCCACGTAGATGTACCTCAAGCATAATTCATCAATTCCAATAATATACCGTCAATTCCAAGTGCCACACATGTGTGATATATCATCGCAGAACTCGAGGGACACAAAGTCGGCCCGAGACGCAATCCTCGTAGAACTCAGGGGACACATGGTCAGTCTGAGACGCATTTCTCGCAGAACTCAGGGAGATATACTCAACCTGAGAACGCAAATCCTCACAAAACTCAAAGAGATATACTAAACCTGAAAATGCAAATAATCCGTCAATTCCGCTCACATGACTCAGGGAGATATACTCAACTTGAGAATGCAAATCTTGGCATGTAACATCTAGGAAATATAAATATATATACATGAAATTTATTTTTTTTAAAAATATATTTATTTAACCTTAATTATGATATTATATATATATATATATATATATATATAAATTGCAACATGTAAGCAAAACCATGTTCTTCCCTTCATTCTTCTCCCATTCCCTTATACATTCCCTTCAAAATCTGATCTTGATCTCAAATTAGGGTGATTTGTTCACCTATTAGAGACGAATCACCTAGTTTAGGCCAAGGTCTAAAATATCGGTGATATCGGAAATATCGGTAGTCCAAAAACACGGAAATTTCGATGGAAATATCGGGATATTATCGATATCAATAAAAATTGAATAAAAACCAAGGAAATTGTAAGAAAAACATGGAAATTTTTATTGAAACTTTGGAGGACGCTTATTTAGTTAATTATCTATTAGTTTATCACAAAAAATTGGAAGGAAATGCATTGCATGATGGATTTAACTAATTTAAGTTGATTACATAGCGAGCTGACAAACACTGTGAGTGTAGAAAATATGCAGTAATTAATGAAAGAAGATTAAATCCACCACAATCATTTATATATAATGATTTACTACAATATTAAAATTATCCTAGGGAATAATTATACAACATTACTTAATTACTTCAAAGAATTAACATGCAAGTATTATTTGGTTCTCATATCACATGCACCAGTTCACACAAATTTTTTGTTGTTGTATAAATTACAATAACATATATATAAGTTTGCAACTTACCTTAAATATGGAACCCTTTGTGTAAAGGCCAAATAGAATCTGCATGGACCAACAAGAAAACAATAATGAAACAAGTGTAACAAAATGTGATGGAAGCATATAAAGTCTTTAATAAGGAATTTAGAGACAATAAATACACATCTAAGTGACCAAATAAAGAATAGAAAAATTAAAAACCACATGCCATTGACTAAGTAATTAATTGACACAATTTAAAATAGAATACCACCAAAAATTTGGAATAGATAATAATAAACATGCAAATTAAATAACAATAATGAATGAGAATAACTTACTATAAACTTGCGGGGAAATTGAGGTTGATAGATGTTGAGAAAAATATGAGCATTATGTTTTGTTTTGGAGAGATGTTGAGAAATAAGGGACGGCATGAGACCATTTGATTTTATTTGTATATATAGAAATAGGATTACCTAACTATATGTATAGAAATATGACTATAACTAATTAGTTAGGTGAGTGGTTGAATGGTGGGGTAAATGAGTAAGTTGAAATGTGGTGAATAGTTGAAAAGTTGAAACTTGAAAAGCAGCTCGCAAGTATTATATATATACACTAGATTCCATAGTTTATAATCACAAAGTTATGACCAGCGTAGTGGTTAAGTAGTTGCAAATTTCGGAGCGGAGAGGGGTTCGAACCCCACTATGTGCGAGAGCGTGAGTGAGTTTAAATTGTTTAATTTTTGAAAGTTCATATCACGATATTATTGCGATATTATCAATAATTTCGCGCTTGAGTGTTAGGGAAATTGAATTGGAAGAGTTTGAACTTCCATTTTCGGTTGGGTGGATAGAACAATTTTTCAAGTGTGGGTGTTGATGATTTTGGTTCCATTTTGAGTTTTTGATGAGTTCTACAATATGTATGAAGTTTAGAAGAGTTATGGAAGCCTTAGGAACAACCTGGGGGTGGTAGAATGGTTGAAAACAACTTAGAACCAAATAGGGAAAATGTTATTTTCTGAAAATTTTCATCCCGCAAGCCTCACTTTGGCTCTCTTTTTCTCCTAATACTTTGAGTGTTTGAGGAAGTCATCTGTTGGGTTTTAAACTAGACATGGCAAGGAATCAAACACAATTGGTTTCGTTGAAGTTTGTTGAAGTTTGATACATCAAACACTTGTGCAAAGTTTGGACAAAAATCTGTTATATGCAGAAAACCAGCCACGAGCCCAACTTTGGAGATGGTTTTCTCCTTCGTTTTAGCTCCGTTTTCAGTGTGGTTTGTTAGGTTAAAAACTAGAGGTATTAAGCTTCAAAACCACTGAAGTTTGCCCAATTTCGTTAACATTTGGTTGGTCAAAATATCTCACAAAGTCTGGAATTTAGTCTGGAAAAAACAGGGGAAATTTGCAGAATTTCTGAAGAAGATGAACAGTAACCGCAAGCCAAGCTCACTCACAACTCCTACGAGTGATGGAGTGTGGTGGCTGTTCCGACAGCCTCCGACACCATATTTTAGTCCATCAGACTCGATTTCTTGATCCGAGTCCGATGGTATGGGTTTTGGGTCGTTTAGAGGGTTTTAGTTTGGAGAATGGGATGCATTCTCTATGTTAAGAGAAAAAGTGTTTTTATAAAATTAGAATTTCTAACATCATTTATGTTATTTATTTTTTCAAATCTAGGAACGGAAGAAAACCTGGCAACATTCGAAGGGTAATTTCGTCATTTTAGCTTCTTAGACACGAGGTAGGGTCTCTAACTTTTTCCACAATGATTAGACTATATCACTTTTAATCTTGATGTTTTAATCTTGTTGTTTTGCTTGATGGGTGTTGTTAGGTGAATACTATTGTTATTGTTTTATGAATGTTTATTGAATATTATATAATGTTGAATGAATATTACTATCCATGTGATTAAATTTGAAATATTTTTATTTTTATTTGAATTATTATCATTCCGCAAAAATTAATGAATGTTTGAACTACATTACATATGGATAAAAAATACAGTTGTGTTGGGCTTGTGTGTAGTTTAAGGTATATCTAAGGGGTGGGAGAAGGCTTTCGATATATCTGAGTAAGAAAAAAAATGTGGAATGTATTCAAGTGACGGGAGTATGGCTCGAATATATTGAGATGATAGGAGCAGGGCCTCTAATGAAAAGTGAAAGTTGAGAAATTCGTAAACAAAATAAATATAGGGTAAGGGACAAATGGGCACTAGTTTATATTTTAGGGTATTCGGAGCCATAATGGTAAAATGCATGGTATGGGAAATGCAGGCTTAATGTCCTAAAGTATGAATTAATGGATTTAGAAAGGAATGAGTTCATGACATCATCGCATATGCATAACACATTTATCTTGTAATTGTTTAATGCATGCCACTTTGATTAGCGGTGATAACTGGCTTTGAGGGAGGATGTTATAGTACCATATTGGGCATTAAAATGCTCACTCCCTAATAGATGATGCATGTTCCAATGCAAATCCTGAGGAATGAGAAGTTCTACCTGAGGACTAGATTAGTGTTGTTAGTTACTGTTTGTAAAATTATTAAGGAATAAATTGTTGGAATATTATGCTCGTGTATGTAACTAACTATGAGCTGCTGCGACTCTGACTTTGTATTTATTAAATAAGTTTGTAATATTATTGGTTATATTTCTATCATATCATAGTTATAGGAGTTTGTTTCTATTTTCGAATTGGGGCGTGACATGACACCACACTATTCGGGCGTCCTCGATACTCATGGAGAAATGTCATACGCACGTAGACAAATTCGAAGGCTATTAAGGTGTCCGAAGACAATCCTAAGGCAACCATATGTCTGAAGACATTCCGAAGGCAACCATATGTCCAAAGACATCAATATTTCCTAAGGCAACCAATATTTCCGAAGGCAACTAGGATGTTCGTAGACATCAATATTTCCGAAGGCAACACAATCCAATTATTAATCAGTTTAACACATATATAAAAATAAACATAGGTATAACATGCTTGGAAAATAAAAGCGATAGAACAATAATTAATAAACAGTTAATACAACGCTCATAGCAAAATACCAATTTAAAATCACACAAATAGGCCACAAACACCTCCTAACCAAAAGGGTCTCGATTGGGCCAACGAGGCCCACTATTTAGGTCAATTAGGCATGTGGGACCCATGACCTTTGATTTCCTATCTAAAAGTTCCTATAGGTCCAACCAAGTCTACTAAACAAGTCCCGAATGTTTTATCTCAATCGAGCAGTCAGATCTAAGCCAATCGTATGATGATTGGTTCGCCTAACCCTGGAATCATCGATTCGGAGTATCAGGGACTTCGATTATTGATCAACAAGTTCCTACACGATTCTAAAGGTACAGAACAATATATTTGAAATTGGGACCGATCGAACGGTTCTAACCTATCGAACATGGATGTCGCTTAATAGGTGCAATATCCGTTTGACTGTCAAATGATAACCAATTTCGTGCTCATGACAACATGTGAACAATTTAGAATGCAATAAGCCACCACACAGTGGCCCACGCTCCTCCACCAGCCGTTGGTAGAGCGTGGGTGTATTGAGAAATTTCTAGTGACAAATTTTTTTCGAAACACCTTACAATACCTGTACCAATAGATCAAGCACACTTAGGTGAGCATTTTGGTTCTTAGACCATGGCCAAAAATTGACCGGAACTAGCCAGAACGAAGCCGAAACCTTCGGCAAAAAAATGGGTTTAAGAATCGATCTGTAAAACCTCAAAATCGATCCAAACTAAGTACATAAACATGTATAGCATGATGAGGGGATGAAGTTTCATACCCCACCAGACGAATTTGGCAGCCAGAATCATTAAAAATGGCACGAACTCCGTCGGGTGAAGAACAAGGGTTTCGCTCGGTTCCAGTCTAAAATCGAGACAAATCTTGGAGTTTCGAAGGTGGAAATGAGTATGGACGTGAAAGGAGGAAGAGATGAATGTTTTGTGGGTCGTGGCGTCCCCGGCTGTTGGAGAAAACGCCGGCTAAAGTGGCTGGTCTTTATTCACGAGAGAGAGAGATATATATATATTCAGGGAGAGAGAGAGAGTCAGAGAGAGAGAGAGAGAGAGAGAGAGTCAGAGAGAAGCTATCTAGCTTTTTAAAATCTGACTTCACAACAATTACGGTTGTGCCACTACATTTCCATAGATCTTAACTTCTTTATTTTAACTCCGAATTGAACTTGCCGCTTGAGTATGAACTCGTATCGGCAAGCTCTACGCAACGGTGTAGCTCAATTCCCCAAATTCCTTTCCGAACGAAAAATGACTAAAGTGCAACTACACCCAAAGGCAAAAATGTAATTTCATAATAAAATAATTAATTGTACAGTGATTTTTGGGACGGGGTGTTACTGGAAGACATGGCCCATGACACAAGGATAATTCTATCAGCTTTACGTGATCAAAGTTTGAATTATACTAAACCTCCAAATGGTACTATTTCTATCTAAAGAAAAAAATTCATATAATTTATATTTAAGTTTTTTACATTGTGAATAATGAATTAAATTTCCTTTTTAGGTAAATATTATCTAGTAGATACGAGATACCTACAAATGAGAGGCTATTTAGGACCATAAAAAGTAAAAGATATCATCTTCCTGATTTTCATGGGGGTGTTCAATCCATGGGTCATAAAGAGGTGTTCAATTATGCTAAATGTCACAAGGCTTTCAGCGAGCTTAATGAGTATATGAGCCGGGCCCCTTTATTGTCAACCCCGACCGTGGAGACGTCCTCACCATTTACCTCTCCTTCTTAGCCATAGCAGTTAGCTAAATGCTTATCTAACCACATGAAGGTGCTGAACATCCACTATGTTAGCAAGGCCCTGCAAGATGCCGAGATTCGGTACCCATATACTGAGAAGCTGGCCTTTGCTCTGGTGGTGTCAATCAGACGCCTCAGACCATACTTCCAAACACATACCATCCATGTCCTAACCAACTAACAGTTAAGGGAGGTATTACAAAAACCAGAGACTTCTGGTAGACTGATTAAGCGGGCCATTGAGTTTGGTGAGTTTGATATCTACTATAAACCCCGCCCAACTACAAAAGCATAGGCTGTTGCAAACTTCATCTCCGAACTTACGGAACCCCAAGCTTCGATCGTTCCCCAGATCATAACCGACTCCACTCTTCCCTCGAACCTGGTCCACATCGCTAGCAACGGCACCCTCGACCTAACCCAGCCCTTGTGGACCTTATATGTGGATGGCTCTTCAACGCCCAGGGATGTGGAGCTGCCTTATTCTCATCTCCCCAGATAAAGTCGTCCTTGAGTACGCTCTCCACTTCAAGTTCCACTCCTCTAACAATGTCGCTGAGTACGAAGCACTCTTAGTTGGCCTTCGACTGGCCAAGGAAATGGGTGCCAAACAACTTCAGATATTCAGTGACTCACAGCTCGTTATTCATCAAGTCAACCAGGACTTCACGGCCAAGGACACCTCTATGACGGCATATCTCCAGTATACCCGCTACCTGCTGACAACCTTCGACGCTTATCTCATAAGTTAGGTGTCATGCCCTGAGAATAGCCATGTTGATTCTTTGGCCAGGCTAGCCTTGGCCTTGGAACAGGGCATAGGCCGCAGCATCCACATTGAATTCCTAGATCAACCCAGCACTCAAGCACCACTTATCTGTACCATTGATCATAGTCCTACATGGATCGACCCCATCCTTCAGTTCTTGCAAAACCAGACACTACTTGATAATTTCGCTGAAGCACGACATGTTCGTTTTCGCTCTGCTCGATACCTAATCATCAATGGCGCTCTGTACAAGCGTGGCTTTAGCCTCCCCTACCTTCAGTGTCTGACTCTAGAAGAAGGTAATTATGTCATTTAGGAGATTCATGAGGGCATCTGCGGCAATCATTTGGGCGCTCGCTCACTAGCACACATGGCCATTCGGCAAGGATACTTCTGGCCCTCACTTTACACCGATGCCTAGGCCTTCACCCAGAAGTGCGACAAATGTCAACAATTTGCCAACATCCCACAACTCCCAGTTGAACCATTGCAAGCTAGGGTCAGTCCTTGGCCATTCGCCCAATGGAGACTTGACCTCATTGGACCTATACCGAAGGGTAAGGGCTAGGTCAAGTATGCATTTATAGTTGTGGATTACTTCACCAAGTGGGTTGAAGCTGAAGCCTTAACCACCATCACCGCAGCTCGCATCGAAACATTCGTCTGGCAGAGTATTGTATGTCGCTTCGGCATCCCCAATACCATTGTCACAAACAACGGTCGGTAATTTGACAATGCAAAATTTAAACAATTTTGCTCCAACCTAAAGATACGTCTTTGTTTCGCTTCCACAGCCCATCCTCAATCCAATGGCCAGGTTAAAGCCGTAAACAAGATCATTAAGAAGACTCTGAAGACCGCCTTTCTCTATTTCCTTTGGTACCGAAGCTGTGGCACCAATAGAGCTTGGCTAGCCCACATACCAAACCTCCACATACGATGCCAAAGCCAATAACCAGCAGTTAGCCCCGAACCTCGACTTCATCGACGAGCTCTGTGACCAATCCAACATGCGCAACATCGCTTACAAATAGCGGATCACCAAGTACTATGACTTCCGAGTCAAACCCTGTTCTTTCAAGATCGGGGACTGGGTCATGCACAAGGTTTCCTTGGCCACCAAAAACCCTACTGAAGGTGCCTTGGGACCTACATGGGAAGGTCCATATGATATTACCAAAGTCTGCCGCCCCGGCACTTATCAGCTTCGTGATCCCAAAGGCAAGACTTTGCCTCATCCTTGGAATGCTGATCACCTCAAGTACTATTATAAGTAAACAGCCTAGACCCTAGGACATTATGTTTTCTTAGACTTTGGTCTTGAGCCTTGGCTCGACCATCTCTTGCACATTTTGCCTTTCGGCATCTATCTAATGAAACGCCTGACTTTGGCTCATTCCAATCTATCACATGATTATCATTCTGCTAGCACAATTGATATCAAATGACAACAAGTCTAATATCATAGCAAATCAAAATAATCTTGCCTCATGGCAAAGCAAAATGTTTATACGAAACAGTTTGTAAACATCAAATGTTCCAACAATAACTAGAATACATAAGGAAGACGTTCACCAAAGGTACCTTCTGCCGATGCATGGCTAGGTTCACCTCCTTCTTCTGCCGACATAGCTTGCCGAAGTCCACCATTTCCACCCCCTCAGCAAAAACATCCTTCATACCAAAAGGGAGCTTCGGCGACGCCTGCAAATAAAAATGAGGAAGACTCAGCCTCGTCCCCATCACACTCTGGTGAGCTTCCTCCAATGCCTTCTTCTTTGCCGCCAAGGCATCGGTAACCAGCCCTTCATCGTCACCTCTAGGATGCTTCCCGGTCGCCCGCGTGGCACCCTCCTTCTCAGCCTTCTTTGCCCGAGACTCCCTCAGTAGCTTCTACTTCTCAACCTCATCAATATCCACAACCACCTTTGTGCTACCTTTTACAACACCTGCCACTGCACATCAAAGGTCAAGTTAGCCACACAAAAAAAGAAAAAAAAGAAAAAAAACGCATTATAAGACAAATAGCAAGATAACCCAAGTACTTACTCCCTTGCAAGAGTCCGGACTCCAGCAAATTCTCCTGGGTGACTAGATTTCGGTACTCCAGCTCAGTCTCTGACAGCAGTAGCCTCACCCTCTCAACTTCATCTTCCTTCCCCTTGGATATCGGCCCCCACTTCATCGAACCTGCAACAAAGTTTAGATACCACTCAAACATTTATACTTGCAAAAGCAATCAAAGGAGAACCAAGAACAAAAGCAGCTACAACACAACGTAACAACAATCAAGTCTTAAAGGAAATGACTAATGACCTATAGATTGGAAGTGGGTAGGAATATCTTTGGTGACGGTCTTCCCGAGAGGACACTCCCAATCACCATAGGCCAAACACCACCTGTTCCTCCAAGATTTTTGAGTAGAAGGCATCCAACTAATGAAATAACCCATCTCTTTTGCCTTTCGGCAATTGGCTTCTACCCAACCAAAATTTCCCTGTTGCTTCAAAATCGAGTACAAGTACATGAACTGCTCAAACGTTGGCTCCCCCATGCAGAAGAATCCAAAAGTTGGGATTATATTGCCCCGACGCATACCCCAACTTGGCCAACATCATTTACACCCAGGGATGAAATGGTAACTTGAAGCCATGCTAGTACATATCTGTAAATATCAGCACATATCCCTCCAGAGAATATCTAACCACATTCGCAGTAGTGGGTAACCTCGAGCCCACCGAAGGTGGGACACTAAAATATGTTCGAAGCTCGGACAACTTTACCTCGGTAAGTGTATTCCATCTCGCCAAAGGGACACCAACTCGTATATCCACTCCCTCTGAAGCTGAAGCCACGGCTACGCCCACAGACCTCGACGATGATGCCTGATTGCTCAAGCCCACCTCTGGTGTATGAGGCAAGGCCAGAACCCGATCAGCTATAGGCTCTAACACTTTGTAATTCCTTTGCATCTCCTTATATGCAGCTGACCCAGAATCCACTGATAGCTCATCTCCTCACCTTCAAACCTTACCATCCTACTCTCTATAACACCTTCTAGCACACTTTCTGTCTGGGAACTCTCACCTTCGGAACACACATATTGGCTTGGCTCCTCACTTTCAGTATCTTCCCCACCAAAGGCAGGGGGTCATGATTTTCTCTACAAGAACTTTTAGACATTTATAATATGCAGAAACAAGGAAAATGAACTAATGCACATGCAAGGAGGATTGAAACACAAGAACACAAAAATTATGGCACACCTACATGCTCTTTGATCTAGAAGCATACATTCAGTAAGTTCATATTAATGTTCATCAAGTTCATACTCATATTCAAGGTGTTCATCCTAGTCTTCAACATGTTCATACCAAAAGGGACATTTCAATTCAAAAATTCAAGAGAAATGAGGTCTAACCTTGTTTGCACCACCACGAATAAGACGCCAGAAATCACCTTGGCCACAACACCACCACGAGGTATCTCGCCGAAAATCTCCTGCTCTCCTTCTCGCTTTCTAGAAATTTTTCTCAAAAACTCAAGTGTGATGCCTTCGTCACCCCAAGTTCCTATTTATAAAGCCTCAAGGGTACCAACACCTCGGTTAACGAGAAAACCCTAGCACATTTTCATCTTCCCTCCCAAATTTCACACCCCTACTCCACAATTTGAAATTCAAAATTCAAATTTAAACTCAACAAAAAGAAAAACGGAAGGGAATTTGAGAAGGCCTTGCCATGGAGAAACAATAAGGGGGCCTCGCAACAAGTCTTACCAAGTATAAGTCGATCTACGTGCCGAGGTTCTTGACCAAAATCTAAGAGCCCAACTCCACAGATTTTTCCAAAGTCAATTGCTCACGTCCAAGGCCCATCAGCCTCACCACTACCAACACGGAAGGGCCCAACCCAAGGCTTCTGAATCCGCCTCCATAGCCCAGCTCTTGCTGAAGATGCTAGACTTGTCCCGTACACACCAAGCCTTGCCGAAGGCAAGCCCAACTCTAGGCCCTCACTCCTTGCATAAACAGCAACCTGCTGAGCCCTAGCAACTCTCTGATCTTTAGCACTTGCCGAAACTCATGACACAAGATTTCTCTTTTTTGGTCCCGATCCCAACAACTCACACTTTTCACCAGGGCCACCCTTGCCGAACGGCAAGGGCCTTGAACAAATTAAACGAAGGCTCACGCAAAAAAAAATTAAAAAAAAATCCAAAAGCCCGAGCTCCCTTGAGTGCAAGCCAAGACCAAACTTGCCCAAGCTGCTTTGCCAATAAAGTGAAACTGCAAAAAAATAATAAAAAAAACTTCCCTCCCAAATCACCCTTGCCGAACGGCAAGGGTCGTTATGAAGCTACGGAGGTACCAAGATTGTGAACAAATCTTACCAAGCCTCGTGACTGTCAAAGACACCACAAGAACCTCAAAAATATTTTTGATCCACCCTTGCCGAACGACAAGGGTTGAGCAAGAAGGATCGATTCACAAGGAATGCCAGCTTGTTGAAGGACCAGCTCAAAATCACCCTTCTTCGAAGCTTGAGCAGCCCCGACTCCTTCAAAACTAGTCTTGCCGAAGCTTAGGAAAACACAAAAATCGAGGCTCCAAGTCAAGCTTGCCGAACATCCAAAAGCCTAGACCACTCTCCACTACACTGCTCGATTTAAAATCACGACAAAACCACTTGCACAAGCCCAACCCCCGGTTCCTTCTTATCACCCTTGTCGAACGGCAAGGGTCAGGCCATAACTCCAAATGTGCTCGCCCAAAAAGTCCATTCCGAACATTCCTTGTCGAACGCCTCCTCAGGTGAACAGCTTCCTTGCCGCATAGACCTTGCCGAACGGCATGTCTTATGTAAGGAAGGGACTCATCCCCCCATCTCAAACCCTAGCACCTTCACTTGCTGAAGCCCACACAACAACGGCCCAACCTTCTTGCTGAAATACTCACCTTTGCCCAAACCTTGAGCCCAGCCTTTTAGCCAAAATTCTGAGGCCTAGCCCTTACCAACCGCTAGCTGCAGGCCCATCTTGGTCCCCTGCCGAACGACAAGGACCATGCTGATATTACCAAAGGCCCAAGGCGTTACAAAAAAATAATAAATAAATAAAAATAAAAAAGGGCCCCTTCCTAATGGCAAGGACCATGCAAAAGGAAGGAAGGGTCTTACTAAAGCCATTAAATGCCTTAAAAAACCAAGGGTGGTGCTGCACCTTAGGGACCAAAAGACCTATCTATTACCCTTGCCAAAGACAACCTAACCAAATGAAATGGTGCTGACAAAGCCCAGCTCTAATTCAATGAGCCCTTACCGAAACACCATGGTACCCTAGCTACCAAATAGTTCTAGAGGCTCACACAGCTTCTACCATACCTTCCAAATGTTGATGCAACTTCTAGATTGCCAACTTGGGGGCTAGGGAATGCCCTACGACTCCCACTGAATTTGGAATGCTCGATCATGATTACATAAAAATCTTACAAGTTCCCAACCCAGAAGTTACTTCTTGACCGCGAACTTGGGGGACTACTGTTTAAATCATAATCAACTGAGCATATCCAGCATTAAAACAACTAGCACCAAGGCAGACACGTCTTCTCCCCTGCCGAAGGAAGACACTATTTCGAAGCGGCAGACACCTGCCGAAGCTCCCAACTAGCGAAACTTTCAATTGCCGAACCTAATCTCCAAGACACGCGTCACCACCACAGCGACTTGCACAAAGTCCCACATCGAAACTTTGTGCAAGGCTCCCATTTTCACTTCCCTACAAATAGGGAACAGTACCCAAGTAAAAATAGTAAATATTTCTCACATTTACTGTTACTCTGCCAAATTTACCACTCATAGTTGACTTAAGCATCGGAGAGCCTTCGACCAGTACCACACTGGTGTTCGAAGCTTGATGACTATTTTTCCTACTTTGTCTTCTTCAGGCTCTTCCCTTACCGAAGGTCCTCACCTTCTCCCCTGCTGAAGACCATTCATTTCTCTATAAGTTGACCTCCCAAAAAGAGCATCAATAAGGAAAATATTATCTAGTAGATACGGGATACCCACAAATGAGAGGCTACTTAGGACCATAAAAAAGTAAAGGATATCATCTTCTTGATTGTCATAGGGGTGTTCAACCCATGGGTCATAAAGAGGTATTCAATTATGCACACTCTTCCCTTAAAAGTGTTATTGAACAGACTTTTGGAGTATGGAAAAAGAGATGGAGTATTTTACGAGACATGTCTAGTTATCTTTTTTTTTAAAAACAAGTAAAAATAGTTATTGCGACCATGACACTTCATAACTATATAATAAAATGTGCCAAATGTGATTGTCGTTTTGAAGAAAGTGAAGATGACCTAATGTGACATCCCAACCCAATTTTAACTATTTATTTACTATATTTAATTTATTTAATTGTTAAATTATAATTTTTCCCTTGGAATAAGGTGACGATAATCACTTTTCGATTCGTAAGGAATTTTGGGATTTGAGGGACATTGTTGTGCAGAGCTCGTTGACATGAGTTCATAGATATGTAGTAGACTCAAATCGGAGTTTTAATGAAGAAGTTACGGTCAACGGAAGTGCAATGGTACAACCGTAAATATTTCAAAGTCAGATTTAAAAACCTAGCGGCTTCTCTCTCTCCCCCTAACTATCTCTACTCCCTTTCTCTCTCCGGCGCGACACTGCCGGTTTCGATAGCGATTCCCCGCCTTCCGGCCACCAAATTCAACGTTGTAACTTATGAAACGCTCCTCTCCACCTCCTCTACACAACCCACTGAATTTTCAGACCCAGTTTCAAGCCTTAAAGCGACTGGAATGGGGAGAAAAATTGCGATTTTTCGTTGCCGTTTTCGGTGATTCCAGCAACAAAATCCGACAAGTGAGGTGTGCTTCTTCATCCATTTTTCGTGTTCTAGTTGTTTTGACAGTTGGTTTGGATTGATTTGGGGCTGTGAGTGTTTGATTAGAAACCTAGATTTTGTCCGACTTTGGCAGTGTTTTTCGGCCACTTCCTGACCAAATTGGAGGTCAGGCTAGTTATAAAAGTTGCTCCCCTAGTTACCCTGATCACGTAGGTATATATACTGTTGGGTGATTTGAGAAATTTCCGTTGTCGGAAATTTCTCAAGCCACCCACGCACTGCCAACACGTGGGCCCTAGGGGTGGTGCCCTATTCTGTTTCAAAATATTTCCCATGTCGTTCCGAGCATGACGGTATGCTCATATTTAAATTTGGTTATTGTTTGGCAGTCGATCGGATTTACGCATATTAGGCGATATCCGGGTTCGATATGTTCGGCTGTTGGATCGGCTCCATTTCCAAATATGTTGATGTAGGTACATCTAGGATCATGTAGGAACTCACGGATCGGAATCGGAGTCTCGGATACTCCGAATCAATGATTCAAAGATTATGTAAAGCGGTGACCATCCGATCAATTGATCGAGAGCGATGCGACCACTCGATTTAGATCAAACTTGCAATATGTGTTTAGTAAATTTTGTTGAACTCGTAGGAACTTTTGGATATGAAATCGGAGGTCGTGGGCCCTACGGGCCTAGTTGACCATTATGGGAAGTTTGAGTGAGTCTTCCGAGGTAGTTTCACCCTTCGAAAAGTACTTGAATAACCTTGTAAACGATTCTTGATTGTTATTTGAGTTATTTTGATTATGTTGGAATTATGAGATTGTTTTATAGTATTTTATGGTTATTATTAAAGTATATGGATTGGGTGATATTGGGTTGTCTATGAAAGTCTATTGTTTTAATTGTGGAATATAGTATTTTTATGGAAATTTATGCTTTTGTGAGTTTATTTTCTTTTATGAATAGATAATTGGGTACATTGAAAATATTGAGAATTTGGGGAAATTTTGAATTAATGGAGGGTATATATATGGGTTGTGAATCTCACTATCATACGTATCTTCTCTGTTTATTATTCCCGCATGTGGCGTTGAATTTTCCTGCGTGTGATAAATTAGTCTGTGTATGCGTAGAATATGGTTTGGTTAGGCCACACGTGACGTTGGATTTTCCGGCCTGTGGTAAAGGATCCAAACATTTTGGTTACTGTTACTTTACCACGCGTGGCATTGGACTCTCTGACGTGTAGTAAATTTACAGGGAGAAGGAAAATGATTATTATACTATATTTGGAAAAAGATTAATGTTTAAAAGAGTTATGCTTAGCATATGTGAATTGTTATAGGGAAAAGGGTTGTTCAGTTCTGAGTCTCAAGAACGGAGTGAGTAAAGAAAAATAGGTTTGTGTTCATGGGCTGAGATATTGTGATTTTATTTAAAAAGGGAAAAGATGATTCTAGAATTAATTTGTTGGTATTGCTGAAAATAATTTTATATTATCTGGTTCGTGATAATTGATTTAAGAACTATGTGTGGCTTGATCCCTCAGTAAGGGTATGTAGGTAGCCTGGGGTTTCACCCAGGTGCAGCCGCGAGATAAATTTTAATTTTGGACTCTAATTTGGTCGTTGGGATCAAATCATGTTTATTAGATTTGTTGAGTTTGGTTTTGAAATTGTCGGTGGCTTGAAGCCCAATTGAAACTTAGGCGAGATTAAATGCCTACAGATATTCTAATTTTTACTGAAGGCATGTGGTTTAAAATGTGTTTGTGGTTGTGACAGGGCTGAAACCCGTTTTAGATTGATGAATGATTGTGGATTGAGTCTTTACAACTATTTATGACTGTGCATGCTGAAGTTTGGGAATTTTTAAACTATGATTTTATTTTTATAGGTGAAAATAATTTAGCAAATGTCCATTTTTCAGGGGAGACTTTGCCGAAAATTCGGCAGAAAGTCTCAACCCTCTTTTCCTTTGTTTTTGGAGAAGTTAGTAAGTGGGCCTGGCATCAGGTGGATGTCAGAAAAACCACAAGATTCGTCACGGATTCTGAGGAATTCGGGCGGGTCCTATCACCTAAATGGTATTCAAAGTGAAGAGATTGAGAGAGAGGTTGATGCACAATAAGAAGATGGTCCTATAACACAAGAAATGGAGGTAATGAGAAATCATATAGCCGCAAGTTTAATGAGGTCATTTACTTTAAAATGTACATGATTGTTTGTTTATGACTAATTTAATTTTTGTTATGACCATATTATTGACAATATATTTATTTTATAATCAAAATACATTTTAGGGTGTGATGGAAACATATTTATATATATATATATATATATACAGTCCCCTTCAGTTGAGGGATCCCTCAAATAGTGTTATTTGAGGGATGAGGCGCTCAACCGTTGGATATGTTTTAATGATCTTGTGTGGCTGAGATTGTTTTACATCTTTTAACTCGTTTTCTGCCAAATAACCCGACACATCCAGTGCTGGAGAAGACCAAGGCGCGCAAGCTCTCATATGGGAAACAAAGGAAGAGGAAGAACCCCTTGCAAGCCTAAGAGAAGACCCACTCTCTCAAGATGAAGAGATGACCCACCATTCCAACTGAGCTTGCGAGATTTCTATTTCTATAAGGTATCCACTGTCATGGTTTTTTTTCCCTTCAAAATCTGGGTTGTGGTTGTCGATTTGGAGATGTACGAGGGTTTTTTTATTTGAGTTTGTAGATTTGTGGGTTTTTAAAAATCTGAGTTGAGATTAATCTCCATATTTAATATGGGTTTGGAAAAATTCATGTGAATTATTATTGTTGTGTTGTTTTGGTATCTGACATGGGTTTTTTTAAAATCGATTTGAAGATTTCTGCTAAAAGTTGAGATTACATCTCCCGATTTGATATGGGTTTGAAAAATTCATGTGTTTTACTTATTGTTGTTGTTGTTGTTGTGATATCTGATATGGGTTTTAAAATTGATTGCAGGCATAAGAATATTAATTTTTTTTTTCCAGGCATGAAACTTCTCATTCAAAGTAATAATATATCTTGAGTAAGTAAAGTCATATTCTACCTATGTAATTTGCCTGTTCTTGATAAAATTGAATTAATTATTTTAATTTTCTTTGTCTTTTCAAGACGATGTTTTGAACTCCTAGTGAGTAGTGGCAAAAGATATCCAATTTTACTTGTGTTCAACATATTTCTGGTGTTGTATGATTGCATTGATAGAGATCCACTTTAAGGTTATCTAAGCCGTATAGCTTCTTAGGGTCAGTTAGATGTGAGTTATTTTTTATTATACAAGAATTAATGGAATATATGAGGTTCGAAATTTTGTTAGGGTCAGTTAGATGGTGCAAGTCTTTCTGAATTGTTGTTTATCCGACTCTATTGAACAATGAGCAAAGGTTGTTTAAGGCATATCTTGTTTGATTACTTTGTAATTAGTTGTATTAATAAAAATAGTTGATGCAATATGTCAGATTGCGTTCTCTATGTGATAAAATGATCTTTCTGATTTGCCTCTTATCATCTTTATTTGCTTACATTTGTACTTTGTATCAAATGGAAGATTATTTCTCCAAAATATGTAGTGTTTGTGGTAATCTATCGAGCCTTGGCTTGTTTCTTGGCTATCGATTTAGAGGATATTACTTGAGCAGGCATATGGTTATTGCGAATGCCATGAAGTTTGGATTGCATATGGCATATGGATTTCTTTTGGGCGATATTTAGTTGTTTTGACAAATTTCATTCCATTCGGGTTTGAGTTGCTTTCTGTCTTCATTTTTGTATGATTCCTGGATTAACTGCAGGATGTTCACTCGGATTTAATAATATGGCCATGTACCCTGGTCAAGACTGGTTCATGAATTTGTTAGCAACATGAATTGTAGGCCAGAATTATCTTATGTACAAGCACATAAGGAAAAGCCCTTTGTCCAAAAAAAGAAAAGAAAAAAAAAGAAAAGGAAAAACCCTTGTGAAATAAGCTAGTAAGGAACGAATGAAATATTTTCTACTTCTAACAACAAATTGATAACTTTAAACCTTCATCAGCTGTGATTAAAGATATATGAGAAATTTAATCATGGAAAGCTGATTATGAACTTCAATAAATTGCAGAAGTTGACCCCAACAACTATTCATCTAAATAGAAAAGCTTACATCCACCCCCAAAAAGACTACAAAAATTATAATGACAAAAAACCAGGACCAGAACACGTTTGTTGTCTATTTCAAAGCTCTTGATTGGCAAATGATTCATAATGAAGAAAAATATCAATCTCGTTGCTCGGTCCTTCAAAGCTCCTCCTCAGATGGTTGCACTATTGCATTTTCTGTTGGATGCATATCAACAATAGCATTTTTTTTTTAACATTCGTGTGGCTGCAATCAATTTTAAAACCCACATTCAAAACCCATATCAGATAACACCACAACAACAACAATAATAAGTAAATCACATGAATTTTTTCAAACCCATATCAAATCTGGAGATGTAATCTCAACTTTTAGCAGAAATCTTCAAATCGATTTTAAAAAAAACCCATGTCAGATACCAGAACAACACAACAATAATACTTCACATGAATTTTTCCAAACCCATATTAAATTTGGAGATTAATCTCAACTCAGATTTTAAAAAACCCAGAAATCTACAAACTCAGATCGAAAAACCCTCGTACATCTCCAAATCGACGACCACAACCCAAATTTCGAAGGGAAAAAAAACCACGATAGTGGATACCTTATAGAAATAGAAATCTCGCAAGCTCAGTTGGAAATGGTGGGTCATCTCTTCATCTTGAGAGAGTGGGTCTTCTCTTAGGCTTGCAAGGGGCTCTTCCTCTTCCTTGTTTCCCATCTGAGAACTTGTGCGCCTTGGTCTTCTCCAGCATTGGATGTGTCGGGTTATTTGGCAGAAAACGGGTTAAAAAAATGTAAAACAATATCAGCCACACAAGATCATTAAAACAGATCCAACGGTTGAGCGCCCCATCCCTCAAATAACACTATTTGTGGGATCCCTCAACTGAAGGGGATTGTGTATATATATATATATATATATATATATATATAAGATAAAGTAAAAGTGCTTTTCCTTTTACAAAACACTTGAACAGAAAAATCATTTCAACATAATGCCATTTTTAGTCATTATACACAGCTTATGGAATTTTCACCAAAAAAAAATATATATACTAAACACTCAAAAATTGATTATTGTACAAACAACACTTATAATAAAAAGTTTACCAAATGTCAAACCACTTTTTCTCATGGCTGATTTCTCTCATAGCAAATCTGACAACGATTATTTTAATAGCACAACAATGTCAAACTGACTTTAAATTCCATGAGTCAGCTCGAGCTCGGCTCAAACCCAAAAATATGAACCCTCATGACTGATAAAAACTCCAAAAATAAATAAAGAGTTTTTCTATTTAAACTCCACACTTCTCTTTGTTCACCCCAACTTCTAATTCAAATTTTCACAATTTCTAAGAAAATCCCACCATCTTCCCAAACTACCCTCAAATTAAGTATTAATTTACAGACACCCCACTTAGCCCTCGAACTGATCTAATAACTTATTAAGTTCATATTTCGTCAGTTTTGTAGTTTGCCCAATTCAATTGCAAAAGAATCCACCTTTACAAACCCCACAATTTCTGGGAAATTTGAAAAAAAGGAATTGGAACCCACCTCCTATACCCCAAAGAACAATTCCTGAACCCAAAGGGCAGGACCTTGATTTTGTTAATGTTGCAAACAACCATCTAATTCACTCTAACTGGGCTAAGCTCAATTCCTTGTCTAATGGTCTAATTTCTTTTAGAGTGAAACATATAGTGCTCAAGATTTAAGCAGGACTATGTTCTTTCCCTTGAGTTTTTCAATTGGGTTGCAGCTCAAAACCCTCGTTAAGTGACATGGAAGCTCTGTGTCCAACAAATTGGGGTGTTTTCCAATTTCGCATTTTATCAATCTCCCAAAACTTAAATCAATTCATCAACCAAAACCCTCAAATCCCAATTTTTCATTTTTTAAGCAACTGGACCATGACGATATATTAGCTGGTGACAGTCCTTTGGATTTGATGGACAAGGAGGTGGGGAGTAGAGGGGTGGTGTGCGGTGGGATATTGAGTCATGCACATGGCGGAGCCACAGTGGGGTCATTGGGGTGACACGACCTTTTGGAAGCCATGGAAATAAGCTTAGAGGTCCCTTAGAGTTGCTGGTGCGACCTCTTGGAGTTGCACACCAAGTGGTCGACGAAATGACTGAAAGAAAGAAGGGTTTGCAACTAGAGAAGAAGGCTGCACGCAGTACTTTAAAAAAAACAAAACAAAAAAACAACCTGGGCAAAACAATGTCGTTTTGAAAAAAAAAAAAAAATCCTTCTCTCCACAGCACTGATTCCTCCATTCAAAACCCCAAATTTTTTTTGTTTTCTCCTCCAAACCCAAAGTTCCCAACTCCCCTAAACCCTCAACTCCATCTCCTCTCTTGCTGTCGCCACTAGGGTGCCTCTGTGGTTTATTTGGACTTTTACACTAAGATCCCTTATGTTAAGATTCTAGCTCCACCACTGACCATGCACTTGAACTCGTTCCCAATGGGGTATGTGTATAAATGTAATAGGATTAAATATTAAGTATTGGGGTGAACAAAAGAAGTGTGGGGTCTAAATAGAAAAACTCATAAATAAATTAACACCCTTATTCTAAAAACCGAGGGACTCATTGTACCTTTCAAAACGCACACAACACAGCAATAACATCGTTCGCAGTCTTCTTCCGAGCCAAAAAAACCCTGCTTTGCTCTTCTCTGCTCTGACTCTGTGGGTGGCTGTGGCTCCAATGGCGAAGATCACAAAAACGAAGAAGCGCAGGCTCATCAAAACATCCGACAAAACCATTGAGAAAAAACTCAAAACCCAAAACCTCAAGCAAAAATTAGAAGAAAAAGAAGAAAGAGAAGAAGAGCACCCTAACCCTAACCAGAAACAACCCCAATCCAATTCCGATTCCGGTTCCGTCTCAGACTCAGACTCAGACTCGTCCGAGTCCGACGTAGAGAACCTCCCTGAACTACTCCAAGCCTACACCAAGGACCAGCTCATCGAGCTCATCGTCGAAGCGGCCTCCAAGGACTCGGCCCTCTTCAACCGCATTCGGGACGCCGCAGACGGCGACGTTTCGCATCGAAAGATCTTCATCCACGGCCTCGGCTGGGACACCACGCGCGAAACCCTTGTCGCTGCCTTCGAACCCTTTGGCGAGATCGAGGAATGCAATTTGGTGTTGGACAAAGCCACTGGCAAGGCCAAAGGCTATGGCTTCGTCCTCTTCAAAACGCGCCGTGGAGCCGCCAAGGCTTTGAAGAACCCTAAGAAGAACATCAGCAATAGAATCGCTTCCTGTCAATTGGCCTCGGTGGGTCCGGCCAACAACAACAACACGACGACTTCTTCGTCGTCGTTTAACGCTCAATCGGACTCGGCATCGAGAAAAATATACGTGAGCAGCGTGCCGCATGATGTTGATGGTGAGAAATTGAGAATTTTTTTTGCTAAATTTGGGGAAATCGAAACTGGGCCAATGGGTTTTGATTCGCAGACCGGAAAATGCAAGGGTTTCGCTCTGTTCCTGTACAAGACTGTGGAGGGTGCGAAGAAGGCTCTTGAAGAACCCTTCAAGGTGTTTGAAGGGCACCAATTGCAATGCCAGAAGGCGGCCGAAGGTTCCAAGAACAAGAACTCAGCTGTGGCGCCCCCGCAAGGGCAAATGCAGCAGCCGACACTGGCTGCTGTGGCGGCAGCGCAGAATATGGCTTTGTTCGGTCAGCATCCGAACCTTAACCCATTGTACGGTGGATTAATGGGCAATGTGGGTGGTGGGTTTGTTCCTGGGTCTGCTAACCCGGGTATGGTGGCCCGAGCATTGAACCCGGGTATAATGGGAGGGGCATTGAACCCAAGTGTTATTCCGGTAAGCCAAGTGGGCCAGGTGGGTGCTGGTGTTGGTGGGTACAGTGGAGGGTCTCATGGGTTGGTCAATTAGGTGGAGGGTCTCATGGGTTGCTCAGTTTGGGTGGAGGATCTCATGTAAGTAACCCCTCATTGCTTGGTGCATATGGGACGAGTGGGTCTCTTCCTATGCTGCAGGGTCTGCAGCACGTTTACCCAAATACGCAGGTTCAGCAGCCGGGTTCTGGTAGGCCTCAGAGGGCTAGTGGGTCATTCGCTGGGTATACATCATATATGTGGTATGCCATATTGCAATTACATTTCTCATGTCCTAGTGTCGTGCATATGTTTCTCCATCTTGCTTTTTATGCATATTCAGTTTTAGTTTTTGGTAGTTTTGTGGTAAAATTTGTTTTGCACGATGAATTATATGGATTTAAAATGTTTAATTTGGTTACAAGTACTTGTATTTTGACTCTTTCTCAAATATCCAGCGTTTGCTTTGTGGGAACTGAATCAATTTTTCTGTATACACATACTCACTGAGATTTTATGAGTTTCATAATCTGCATAGGTTGTTATGAAAGGTGAATTTCAAGACGAGAATTTGTATGTTATCTATTGAAAGTAGATAGTTTTGGTGAGCTTAAATAAATTCAGCATACAGGAAGTAAACCAAAAACAGGTTAGAATGGTTGGGTAACAGACATTACTGTTTCAGTTTGTTATGGTATGCAGAATAAAGGCCTCGTCCTTCTAAGTCTCTGAAGAACAATTTTTTATATACAAAACCTGAATGCACATAGACAACTGATAAGGTACTTAAAATTTTATGTTATTGGGTGAAAGTAGATGATTTTGGTGAGCTTAATCAATTTCAGCATAGAGAAAGTAAGCCGAGAACAGATTACCATAAAAGAGGCTCTAGAACTCCTTAAATAGATGTAACTGTTTGTTATGGTAAACAAAATAAAGGTCATTTTTCTTCTGAGTCTCCGAGGCATATTGTTTATGTTCTTTATTCGCGGTTAGAGTCTGTGAAGTCTAAGGGTTTACTGTTTTTGTTCTGCAATAAGCCTTGCTGCTTTGCATGTTGCTTCTTCGCCAGTTTCCATGATAGTTCTTTCTTGGAAGTTTGGTTTGCTGTTGCTAGTTATTTCCTATCCCACTTATGTGGTGTCAGGTTCTTTTTTTTTTGGCTTCCAGCTGGATTATGAACCTTTCTTTATTTCTATTATTTTATTATATTTTACTTCTTTCTGCTGGGTTCATGAGTTTGAATTTTATCAAACCTCTGGACTAAGTTATATTCATTTGAGTACTGTACCAGTCTAAGATGTACTGTTTTGTTGTAAACTTCTTTGAATACATGAAACTAAGCATTTGTGAATTCACACACGTAGCTCATTATGGATTAATTTAATTATAGTAAAATATGATTTTAAGATTCTTAAAGACTCTTCTTCCTACATTAAATTGATTGAGATAATCATCCTCGTACTTTCATCAGAGGATGACATAACATTGTATGTAAGAATCCAACCTTTTCATGCGCGCACAATATTCGTTGATTAGATTTATTAGAATTTCTTACTTGTTTTTTAAATATCAGATACTTATTAGTGCAATGAGAATTTACAGAATTTATACAGAAGTTTGGGGTTATTCGGTCAGACTCATGACATTTTTTATAGCGTTTCCCAAATTTCCCCAAATGATTTTCTCTCTGAATATTTCTTTTCACATATTTATAATATTACTAACTAACGAAAGTATCTTTAGTATTTTGTATTTTATGAATAAAAATGTTTGAAAGTCTTTTAAGTTTTTAATTCCCTCCTGGATAATTTCCATTTCAATTTTCAATTCTTCTTTTTTTTTTTTTTTTTTTTTAAACGGGCTAAAGTGTTTACTGTCTTTAACTTCATTTAGGAAATCTGTTTTGTAAACTTGTGCAGTTTGTTACTCTAACATTAACCAGCCACTTTTCTTTTTGGTGGTTTACTATACTATATTAAATGTGTACCTTCTCCTTAGTTTCTTTTGCCATTTGAATCTAATATTATGTACACTGAATCCTTGTATTTATACCATCATGATGCCATGGCTCATAATTTTTGTAACAGGGATCACTTGGACATATGTTTTAACTTCTTTGAGCATGAATGTTTTTCTCACTTTTTTTTAAAAAAAAAAAAATAAAATAAAAAAAAAAAAAATTTAAAGGCTTGTTTTGACGCTTTGGGGATGATAATTCCTTTGAAAGGGAGATTGTTGTGTTTCTTTTGGCATTACATTCTTGGGCTGTATGTTTGCAGAGTAAGTGTCGCTGAACATCAGGAAGGATGATCATGTCTAAGGAATATTTATCTTAAAGCTTGCTTTGGATTGAACACTTTTTCGGGAAGTTTTTCTTTGGGAAGACTTTGTATTTTAGTTTTCTCATGGTCCATAACTTCAAATTTGGCCAAGCTCGACAGCAACTTGGTGGACGTTCCTTTTTTGTATTTTTTTTTAATGTTTTAATTCATCACATCTTTGACATCCTTTATTTTGTAAGAATTGACAACATCCAGTTTCACTTTAATGTTCAGTTTCTTTTTCTTTTTCAGTGACTATTCTTTCGTGTTTCACCCCATTTCCTGCCTTTTCCCCATTTTATAATATATTATTTGCTTATTAGTGTATTGTGATTTTTATTTGTTATTATCAGTTTGATATTGGATCTTTGTTTTATCTTTATTCCCTCCCTTCATTTCTATTTTTGGTTTCTTTTTGTTTTCTTAGATCAATCTATTCTATCCCCATTTAATGGTTTTTAGTTTTCACATTAAGATCACTCCTCTTAGCTTATGACCTTTTGAGGAATTGTGTTAATTCCTTGTTATGGGAAACATTCTTTTGTTTGGTTAAACTGTTTCAAATATATTGAAAGTTACTTAATTTGCTAGTTTTGAAATTATGATACGAGATAGCTATTTCAACATTTTAGTTACCTGTAGCTAGTTGCTGAGGTCTTATTATCATAAATAAGCAAAAGGCTGGCTAACTGCTTGTAAGGTTTTTTTCTATCTTCTTCTTACACCAAGTTGTAGCGGCAGCCTCTTGCCTGAAATACATATTTTAGGTAAGAGGCCTTTTGTTCCCCCTATGTTTTGTTTATTTTCATTTTTTTTATTCATGCCTGGAGGTTTAAGGGCTGCATAGAAATGTAGGTCTGGGGATTCACAGAGTCTTTAGTATATTAACAGGTCCATGTATTAAATTTTATAAAATAAAAGTATGTACTTTTAGTGTGTATGTCTATTTTTTAAGAATACGGTCGGAGTCATAGTTCTGCTATCATCCCATTCCAAAGTATTATTTCATCTTTCATGTGAATATTCAACCCTGCAAAGTCAGAGATATTTGGATAGCAGGAAAATTGGAGAACTTTCTTTTTTTTTTTTTTTTTTTTTTTCATAAATTTAAAAGCCTCCATTATTTCGTTTTCAATGCTTTTGATGCATCATATTTTAACCCTCTTTGAGCTTTGGTTGGAATTTGAATTACTGGTTTTCTGGATGTTACTTTCTCTTCATTGTACTTTTTGAATGATTTTTCTCCTAGTTCTTGTTTCTAGATTTTGCTTAATGATTTCTTCATCTCTCTTTTCCTCTCAGCCGTGTTCACAGATAAAAGAAATAATTAATGAGCAATTCAGGCAATATGCCTTATGCATTCATTATTTCTTTCAAAGGGTTCTACTGAAACGAATCTGAAATTATACTAATTGGTTTTTAATAATAAGTTTAGTGAGTGATTAGGTTAATTGTGGCCCCTTCTAGAGTTCTGGAAGAGTATTCCTGTATGTAAAGGCATAGTAAGATAGATGAGCAGCTTGTTTCTCGAAACATCTTTCAGTTGGCTAAAGAAACTATTTCGTCTAATGGCATTATCAAGGCACATGAATAAGCATGAGAATGTTGTATGCCACAAGAATTTTAGGTACCTGTACGGTACCAGTTCGGAAAAGATTCTTTAGTTTTTTGGAAAATTTTATGACATTCCCTCAGTTGGATTGTTGTCTACAGGAGGTAAATTTCATGTTGAGTTCAGTCGTGATTTTAGACAGAGTTGATTTTTGTTGAGGTATGCTGATAAATGACAATTGACAAGGATATATGATTTGCTCAAGTTTTCCCTCATCTATTAAGTGAACTGTGTAGCAGGCTAACAGCTAGCTCTATGAGAGGAATTTATTGAGTTCACCTTCACTGGCTAGCAAGCCAACTTGATCTTGCTAATGGCCGAAGCTTCAAGGTTGTACTTGTAATAAATTTGTTGGTTGCTTACATTTAGAATTTGGCTTTCTTACACGAAGTAAGAGGCTTCATAAAATTGGCTTTCGTATCATATCCGTGGTATTCTCATAAATAGCAAGCTTATTGCTTGCTTTCGGTGCATTGAGGGTTGATCCTCCAATTATGGGAAGGGGAATTGGTAAGAAGGATTGTATAGAGGATGCCTTCCTGGTTTGTGGGACCTTTCATCTAAGACTGGAGTACGTACGAGTAAGGTAGGACTAAAAGTGTCAAACGGGCCGGATGGGCTTTGGGCTGTGCTCGGGCTAGGCCAAGCCCGTCTTTTATGCAAATCATTAAGTCCGGCCTAAATCCACAATCCTAACCCATATAAGGTGTGTGATATGAGTAGCAAACAATTTTCCAATTATGTCCAAGCATCCATGACACTGATTATATGCCTTCAAGTAGAGGTGTCAAGTGGGTCGGGTCAAGCCAGTTTGAAGTTGGCCTTACCATGGGCAAAACCCAACCATTTATGAAAATCATTAAGTCCAGCTCGAGTTTGCAGCCCTAACCCATATAGGGATGGGTCGGGCTTATATGGGCCCACACCAAGCCTGACTTATGTATTTCATGTTTTGTAAATTTCTCTTTTGACAATTTCATTTCAATATTTTTAACTATTATGTATATATTAACAAGATTTCTTATTTTTTGGAAAAAGAAACCAATGACTCTTTTTGAAGTACATGAAGATTGAAAATTGCTAGACTCTTGTTCGAGCTTAAAAGATTTCCACTTGAAGAACAAAATAATTATTTTATTTATAAAGAAAACATTGTTTTTTAAAATCTATTATTAGAAAAAGGAAATAGACTTAAATTTAAGATATAGATATAGCAATATTATTATTATTATTATCTAGAAACAATTGTAATATAATAAATAGGCTTTAAATGGGATGGTCCGTTGGGCCTTGTGCCGACACGGCATAAATGGCTTGCGACTGTGATACCAGAGGCTCAATCGAAAGCACAAAGAAACACTCACCACCCAACATACACTCAAGGGATACAGAAATCACCACCCAAAGTGTTTATCTTGGGATACAGAGTAAAGGGAACTCACCACTCAATGGAATCCTCCAAGGAGATACAGAGTTTAAGGATAATAAGTTCAAAAGAACCTAACTTTTCATTTCAATACTCAATGTCCCAGCAGAACACAATGGGGAGTTTAAAAAGAAGCAAACAACTCTCCAAAGATAGGTGACTTTTGTCATTCCAATACAAGGATAACTAGGAAATATTAATGACACTCTTAGACTAAACAAATGATACCTAGAAAATATGAAATATTCGAATGCAAGACTAATTCCTTCTGGATTCTCACATAACTCTAGGTACCTTCGCTTAGAGCAATTCCAGTGCTTCAGTTTGGCCCGAGCAGAAGGGGGCCCAAGCTCCAGGTCGTAGTTTTAGCGGGCTTCAGCTGCCTGGGCAAGAGGTGAGTCCCACCTCGTGCCTGGGGGCTGATGACGTCAACAACTAAAAAAAATTTATAAAAAAACAAAAACAAAAACAAAAATTTCAGAATTTTTTTTTAATGAATAACTAGCCATATTCTTCAATTCCCATACCAAAACCCTATACAAAT